CATTCGTCAATTAGGAACCAAATAAACTAAGAAGTACTTATTGACGTGTCGACATTTCAATGATAGTTCTGTCTTTTTGTTAACCAAACTCCAAGATGTCATAACTTGTCCTTCCAGTAGAAACTTTTAACAATGGATTATACAGAGTGTTCTTGGTATATATCACCCAAACAGTACAATAATAAATCTGTCTGTTTCATCTCTGTGGTTCATAAAGTATTAGAGCTCACTAGTATTATTTATAATACTATTTCTAACACTAGTTTTAATATAGGAACATTATTCTTCTTTATTCCCATACACATATACAAGTAATTTTTTTAAGACATTAATGGATTCTTTCATGCAACTTTATTTCTTATTACTCTAAACGCTATATTTATGTTTGAGTAGACATCCACTTTTTTTTATTTAAACAGAGAAATTAATGCCACCTAGCCTAGATATTGAAAGTCTTATTAAAGAAAATGTGTTCAGGTTGGTTGACATTAATTTTAATTTTTAACCTTTACCAAATTGCAGGTGACAATTGTTGCCATAGAATTCTCTCCTTTTGCTACTCTAGGCGCATTCTGTCAATTTGAGACGGTTGCTATAAATAAACACTTGTCAACTGTTATTTTCAGTATTTTAAGCTAGAAATCGCCTACTATTGCTTTGGAACAAAGTTTTCCAACGCCATTTTGAATTCTTCTAGACTCTACATGAGGTGTAACATTGATTAAACCCACATTAATCTTTTCGCAATTTTTTGTACACAAAACTGGCCACGTCAATATCCAACAAAACTTTATTCAGGAGTTTTTCTTTGATTAGGACTCCGATGATGATTTTGAAGACTTTACTCAATTGGATATTGACAATGAAATGGCCGAAAATGATAACCACATTAGTAACGTAGAGGAAAGCGATGATGTACTAGTGGCTACTATTATCCATGCCTGACTAATTTTATGGAAGCTACAGGCGACCATGTATATTCCTGATAGCCTTTCTGAAGGTGAATTATTTCGTTTATTTATAAACAACAAAATAATAACTTTATTTGTCAACGAGACAAATAAATATGAGTCAGTTGAAAGAAAGAGCAAACAAATGCAAGTGTCTTCTCGTATGTAAACACGAGGAAACATGTCACTTTTTTGACAAAATAAAAGCCTTGTTAGTGATTTTGCTTCTTATTGCACCTCAGAACTCAACAAGGTGTAATAAAAGTTAAAGTATGTTGAATTATTTATGTATTTTTTAATGTATTTGTTTTTAATTTCACAATTCTTTTTCTTCTAAATGTCAAAACAAGCATGCAAAACGTAATGCATTACATCAAATTTTACTCATTTGTTCTCTTATTAGTGTACAAAAATTAAAATCTATCCGCACAATACCAACAAAGTTATAACAATTTTAAAACGGTAGGTGTTCATGTTTTTGCCCCCCTCAAAAAAAAAAATGCAGTCGCAGGTGGGGGGGACAATTCTAAAAAGAAATAAACATGGTAAAGATTAAAAAATAGTGTCTACTCAAACATACAAACCCACTAAATATAGTGTTTTTAGTGATAATAAGTAATAGTAAGTAATAATGATGATGATTCTCTCTCTCACATGCAAATATTTATATATTTTCATTAACCAAGAATCCTATAATGTTTCTTGGGAATGTTCTGTTCTAAGATAATTCACAAACACCCTTCTTGGATTCCTAGCAGGGTATTTATCATTAAAAGGTTTAGAATTTTTCAAAGTGCAGATCCCAAAACCATGGATTTAACAATCAGACAAGTGATCCTTGCCCAAAAGAAGTGATCAAATGAAATTGTTTTCATAAATGACAAAACATGAAGATCCAAGAAATTTTTTTTGCACAGTGAAATGGCCCAAAGAAACCTCTCCACCCGAAAACATACACTATCCCTTCACCCCTCCACCCCAAAATATCTCCTCAAGGGAACAGACACTTGCACTGTTTTGCAGCTACAAGTAATGAGAGAAAGTGCAATGAAGAACGTTTATTTCTGCAGCCATCTTAACAAATGGACGACTGAAGCTGTATTTTGGTTTTGTTTTTTTTTTTTTTTTTTTTTTTTTTTTGGTAAAGGTTTTGTTTCTATTTCAAAATAGATCCAAATGTCAAAAACAGAATTTTCTCTGACAATAATGAATTGAATTTTGCCAAAATATGAGTTGTCTACCCGAAGATTGGAATCATGCATATGCAATACTTCAAAAGGTCAAATATGCAGCGAGGGAGTTAAAGTTAGATTGGAGGGAGGGGGTAGAAATAAGGTGAATAGAGAGAGAAGGAAATTTAAATGTGAAAAGTTGATAAAGTCAAAGGGGGAGAGAGAGAGAGAGAAAATTAGATGAAAGAGTAAGAAACAATTGAGGAGAGAGAAAAACAGGTTTAAGAAAGAAATCTGAGGGAGGAGAAGGGAGAAGGAGGAGACAAGAGGATGAAGAGGAGACAAGAATAGAGGAGAAGGGGAGAGGAGAAGGGGAGGGAGAAAAGGAGAGGGGGGAGATGAAGGAGAGTAGAAGAGAAGAGGAGGGAGAGAATCTCTGTGTCTGTGTGAGAGGAGGTCAAGAGAAGAGCCTCAAGGTCAAAACAAGCACCTGACATATTTGGAAGTCCATATATGAAAGAAGAAATGAAGGAATTCAAATCTGGCTTTGGCAAAGGTGCTGGGCATAAAGTCGAATAATCAAGAAGTGCCATTGAAGCCAAAAATAAAATGGATGACAATCAAAATCATCTAGTGAGGAATAAGTCCTTCCTACCCTTAATGTTGATGATGCTGAAGAGTAAATCTTAATACTGCTCCCTTTCGAGATGGTGCTTTGTACACATTGCCCAATCAGAGAGCACTTCTCTATTCTAAGCCAATGTCAATTATGCTAATGAGATTAAACTTTCTTTCTCAGGAGTTTCAATCATCACAAGAGTAGGAAATCGCCATAGTTAACTAATTTCAAACATAACTTTTTATTCCTTTCTATCAATAGAAAAATTTCAAATGTTTTAAAACTGATCTGCATATGTGAATTAAAAAAATCAATTTACTTCCACAAATACAAGACTGATACTGTATTCAGATTGATGTGACCATGTCTCTCCACAGCATCCTGTCTTTTGTTATTCTCAGTAATTGTTGTCTATCTCTTCATATTGTTTCTCCATCCATTTTCTCAAAATTGTCAAGTACGTTAATGTTTTCTTTTGTTTCACTTGCCATTTCTGCATCCTGAGAGTGTTAGATTCACCAAGCCTTCTTTCATCATTACGTGTCCCCAAAATTCAGTTCTCGCCTGATTGCTAGCAAATTTGAATTTGAAGACGAGAATTTCTAAAGCTGATTTTCTTGGTAGGTTGGTTCATCCCCAATTAAAAAAATTGATGCAACACAATCTACTACTCCATTACTTGCCTTATATCATACTAAACTAACCTCTGTAAAGATCAAGAACAGAATTTTGAAAATATAACAATGAAATGAATTTCAAGGTAGATTTTCAAAATCATGTAAGTCTATTCAATGAATATGACAGTATCTTAAATAATATTTAAAACTTGAAATATTAAAAAAAAAAAAATTGCATTCTAAGAAAAAGTTGAATATTATAAAATTTTGTAAAACTCTTGCTCATAAAAATGATCAAGACCAAAATGACAACATAATTCATTGTCCTTTGAACTCTGAAATATTGACAATGCAATAAACTGAATGCAGTGATCAAATAAATGTTTAAACGAATGAATGTCTCAAAATCTCTTAAGAACATTTTTCAAATAAAGTCGTGCCAATCAGTTGAAAATTTCAAAAATCAAAATAAATTCAACTTTTGAGTGAAACTCAAAAAACACAATCAAAACTGAAGAAATCTATTTTCATTTATAAATTAAAGATCAGGAGAAACTGTAAACTTTCTCTGTTGATCATTAATTCTCATAAATTCAAAAAGACATTTTTATTAAGCAGAGGCTAATTTAATACAAAAATTGAACTCATTATACTAACAAAGATGAGCTTGATTGTAACAGACAACAGCAGATTAATGTATATTACTATACAGGAAGCTTGAAACTGACAAAGAGACTGCATTGTAGAAGCCCTCTTCTTAACTATGTGTGAGTGGACATGTAAGGATTATTGCCTTATTTTAGAGAGAGAGAATGAAAGAAGAAAGGAAAGGTTTTCTTATTCGAGTAAGGGTTAGAATTTTGAGTGGAAAAATAAAACCAAGAGAAAGAACTGGGGAGGGGGATCTCGTTTATTCTTCTAAATGTGAGGCTTGTTTGGTCGGTTGGATGAAAATGATGATGGTGGAATAGAAGTTACAACTAAACAAGGAGGAAATAATTAGGGGAAAAAGAAGGGGAAAACAAAAAAAAAATGAAAGAAGCAATGGAAACAAACTTTCCTTTCATCTGAGCATGACTGCCGAATTAAATTTGAATCACTAATGCAGAAACAAAAAGATAAGTATATGTAAGCATGCATACCTACATTAGGGGGTGTGTATGTGCGTGTGTAAATGAGTTATCTATACAAAAAAAAAAAAAAATTGAAAGGTTGTAGAGTATTAAGAAAAGTATAGCTTCATATGAAGAGGCTGAGTCATAAGTAAAATTACATACATACATACATACATACATATATATATATATATATCAAAATGAAATATGAACAAATACAAAATTAAATGAGATATGGTAGAGAGTGGGAAGAAGATGAGTAGAGGTGGATAGAGAAAGAGAGAAAGTAGTTAGTGCAGAAAGCAGACTTCTTCAAATTATTGGGTAGAACAGGTTGCAGACGAGGTAGAGAAAGTCAATACAAATGATGAAGGTGGAGTTGGGGGGGGGGACAGGAGGAAGATGAAATTCACTAGGAGTGGGGGGGGGCTGCCAATATCACATGAAATTGCTGCTGCTGCTAAAACTGGCAATAAAAGCTTATATGAAACAAGCTACGGCTTTTGACAGAAAAATGTTAAACGTACGTAAATATGGACTTATAGCAGACGGACACATGCCGCCAGGCAAATCCAAATGCTCGCACTGCTTCGATGATGGAGGGCGAGCTAGAAAAAGAAAGATACAAGTGTTAGCCGATTCCAAGATAGACCAGACTCTCCACTATTCCTTTGGAGACTAAAGTCTACTGTGGAAAAAATCCTACCCCTATGGCTTCAATGTTTGCATTGAATTACTGATGGTATCATCACTGCCAACATTGTCACCAGGTCTAGTTTAAGAATACCTGTACCCCATCTCTATTTCCTTTTTACAATTCTCCAGGTAATTTTTTCTTCATCCTACACAGTGAGAAAAAGAATCTGAAAAGAACTTTATTATTATGATTCAAAGATAGCTCAATTATATAGTTTTGTTATTAGTGCTGTTGAGAATTTTAATTCAAATGAGAAATTCTCAGAGGAAAAAAAGAAAAAGTGATTTATTCCCATGGAGCAATTTGCAAACAAATCCATCAATATTTGCTCTCTCTGAATTTTATTTTTTCTTTTTCCTAAAAATCTAAAGGTTCAATCACTTGCCATTTATTTTAGATGTTTTAATTTCTGAAAATCTTTTATTTCGTTAACTTTGCCTCCCCAAATTGTTTTTTTGTTTTGTTTTTATTTAATGCCATGCCTCTTCAAAATGATCATGGCCCTCCACAGATTTCTTTTCTTTATTATCTGTGAAATGTCATGACTTTTTGTGGGAAAAATAGTGGTTTTCTGTTTCCTTCTCCATGGTTTTGAATTCAGAGTTGCCCTTCTCCAAGACAGGTTGCTACTTTAAGGCTAGAACACCTACTTTACCCAAGCAGAAATGAGGGAAAAAGATGAACTCATGCCTTTCTCAAGGACACTTGTGCTAAAATAAATGCATCAGACTAGGCAAGAATTTGAACTCTGCTTGCCAATACCAATTAACATGCTGATAACCATTAGGCTACCTGCCGAATTTTTAGATTAAAATTTTTTAGATTCGTTAAATCAGGTAAAATGTCCAAAGAGAAACAATAATTAAATGAGAAATTGGCTGTGGTTCAAATATTTTCATTCTTCAACAGTTTTGTTTTTCGTTTTTTAACTTTTTACACAATTATCTTTCTTCATTTATACTTTTGATTGTTTCAAGTCTATTTTCTGTTCTCAGATTCTTAAAAAAAAATCCAAGTCAAAACTTTCTTTGGCTATCAAGAGCTTCATTGACCAAAATGATGAGAACATTGCAATATAGAAAGTTATGATTGTTTGAAATTCTAGTTCAAATGTTATAAATTTCTGCAATTTATCTTGAAAACTAGACCATATAGAATGTAAAAAACGTGTAAATTTCATCAAAAACTAGCAAAAGTTCCATTTTGATTGATTTTTTTTTTTAAATTTATTTATGTATCCTTTTAAAATTTCTAATAATTTTTCTGATTTTTGGCTGGAATTAATGTATGAAGCTTCCCATACCAAAATTCTTGGATATGGGAAATTTCATCTTCTATTACCAACTGAAAATCAGAAAAATTATTAGAAATTAAAAATAGGATAAATAAATAAATAAAATAAACAAAATGGAAGTTTTGGTGGATTTTAATGAAATTTGCATAAATGAAAAATTGCTGCCAAAAGACAGCCAATATATACATACAGACATTGGTTAAAAGACAATGTGTAAAATGGAGAAATAAATTGGTTCCTTGCCATCAGCGATACTTAATGGAGAATTATGCAGAAAGGATGACTTGATTAAGTCCAATAAGAGGCAGCAGCAAAAATCCTTATCATAGCTTGGAATTAAAAACCTATCAATTAATTCTCAAAGTTGTCTTGAAATTCTGAGATTCGATATTTTTTTCATTTGCATTCTTTTTAAAAGTATTTTTTTCACAAATTAATTTATTTTTGTTCAATGACAGACAAAAGAATTGCTTTCTCTCATAACATTTTTTGCCAATTTAATCTTTGGCCATTAAATTGCAGGAATTCAGAAGAGAGAAATTGATTTAGACACGATTTGATCTCACATCTGATACCAAAGGAGCTTTCTAAGTCATGTAGCAATGACTACACCGTTTTGGCTATGGATATGCAGAATATGATCAGCTAACCTCCTTCAGCACTCTGCATTATTCATGAGTATTACTTCCCCTTCCACTATACCTTTTTTCAAGGCTCATCAGCTTCAGTAACCTTGTTCACAAGTTCAGTCAAGGTCTTATTAACAGTTGCCATAGCAGGACATGACAATACAACCATGAAATTCAAACAGACTATCTTTCAACAGTCAGAGTCAACTGCTGTGTTAAAACAAATTTTTTTTTGTTTATCAAACAAAGTCATCTACACAGTGCTAAAGTTTATGTTGGAAAAAAAAAAAATTTCTCAAGAAAAAGTTTTAATTTCATAAAATCAAACTGTAACAAAGATTAAATAAATTTACAAAGCCATGGCATTAAATTCAGAAGATTTTTTTAGGGTCAGGGAGAGGGGGGAATGTATATAGAATTCTGCTCCTTTTGAGGATTTCTCCAAGCTTAGTTAAAAAAAAACAAAGGCAAGGACAAAATAGAAATATCCAATGATTAACAGGAAAAATAGTGAGCTTTGAAATATTTCAAGTTTCTATTTTGCCCTCCCTATTCCCAACATACAACTAAAAACTTAATAGGTAAATTCTACAATTAATTGTATACAAAATTTCAGAGATAACCAGTAAGAAAAAGCCTCAGTGAATAAAGAAAATGCAATAATCATTTTCGATTAGAACGTAATCCCAATCTTGATTATTTCTTTATTGAAAAAACACTAATCTCACTTTAACGTTTTCAAATATTGTTAATAAGTGCAAAGAGACACACAGTCTATATCCATTTTGTAAAAAAAGGACATGTTTTTTTTTTAATGGAATATAGTTCCTTGAAAGAAAGAACTGAATATGTCTCCAAGACAAAACAAATTTTTTAGAAAAGAATGCCAATGGAAGCAAATTACTTTTGGTAAAAAACAAAAAAACCCCCCAAAAAACAAACAAAGAGTTAAAGTTCTAAGCAAGCCAAGTGTAATAGGAATTCATGTCTTCTTTTATTAAGGAATTCAAAACACATCCAATGATTGGGGATGGAGACAGTGTTAATTATGTGTGTGTGTGTGTGTTTTTTCAAGATTTAAAAAAAAAGGGGGGTTCTTTTTGTATGCCAATTCTGCAACTAACAAAATGGAAATGACTGACATCCTGCTTAGAGCAAGAAAGAAGAATCAAGAAAAGCACAACACACGGTGTCTATTCAAATTGGCAGTGGACTGAATGTTGTTTTTTTTGTTTTTATTATTTTTTTTTAAGCTGAGAGCAAAGAAAATGTATAATCCATTTTCACAGTGCATAGACAATCCAATCCAAAGATCAGTTCATCTGACTCATTCTCCGCAGTTGTGTTACAGGGATTCAACACTATATTCAGTTCATACACATACCCAGAATATTTGAACATTGATGACTAAACTTCTACAGGTGAAATATTTGAGAAATTATTTGGCGAAATATCCTGATCCTTGTTGTTTCAATCATCATATTTCATGCTCGATGACTATCTGATCTTCCCACACTGTCTTGAGTGAAATATTCTGATTATTCTATGAATTATTCAAACTAGCAATCTCCTTTTCACAACATTGTTGTGGCCAATAAGTTCTACTACCTTCCTCAATCAAATAATTTTCAATTTCTTTTCAAATCTTCCTAGTCATAAAGAGATTAAAAAGTCACCTTGCATTGTAAATAAATTTAAAAAAAAAAAAAAAAAAGCATTTACAGTACAAAACAACTATATTGTTGCTTTACCAATGAAGAGAGAGAGAGAAAACAAAAATAGTAATAGGTTTCAACACGTACTTGAAGAAGGTTAGATTAGTGAAAAATAAACTTTAAAAAATAATCCACAAAATATCTAGAAATATGCTATATTGAAAGCTCAAAACAACATGGTTTATAATATTTGCTTTCTTATTTTCTATTGTTTTCATGGAGATAATTTCAATAAATTTAATCCATCTGACATGTTTGTCTCTTTCACAAGAGAGAGACAAATCCATGTGTACCAAGAACAACAACAACACACAATGCTAATTTAGAATATTCAACAATGCAGAACACAATACAACGCAATATATTATGATAGCAAATCAACAACATTTACCAACATTTGTTTCAGACAAAAGCAAAAGTCCCCACCACCCAAATTCCAGAAATAAATCAATATAAAAAATGGTGTCTATACAGAAAGAATAAATTAGGATTCAAAAACCAGCTGAGCAGCTGTGATAGTTGCAAATTTTTCAACCACCGGATATACTATGTTAATTTTCAGTGCTAGCATTCTCACTTTAATAACTGGTGAAACACAATCTTCCAATGTCCATTTCACTTTGCGCTCAATTAAATAGGATGCAGCTCCTCAGCCATAGGGAAGTCAGAATAAAATACTCTCCAAAATCAAAACCAAATCATGAGGGTATAAATTCCAGGCTGGGATCTGGCATGAACAAAGACACCTTACAAAGGAAGAAAGTGTTATTTAAAATTTGCTTGTGTATAAATAATTCCAACCCTGGTGTCAGGGTACAACCACTTCTTCCAAGTTGTCTTAAACCAACATGAAAGAACAGGCTGATGAAAATGTCAAAACCAAAGATTTCCAGACCAGAGCATATCACATCCAAACTATCACCATGCAATCATGAAAGCAGAACCAATGCTTGGGACTCTGATATGGCAGCAGTGATCATTCTAACAGCCTTGGACTGGTGTGTTACAACAGACTAGAAGTATAAAAGAAATACACAAACCCAAGATCTTTGGGAAGAATTATCTCATGTTAGTGAGCAATCTGCAATTGTCGGAGAGAGCAAAAGATTATGAATAAAATACGATTTGGCAAATTTAGGAAATTGTATGGGGGCGTTTGGTAAATATATCAGAGTTCACCATTGCATCTAAACAGTTCAGCTACTGTGAGGACTACAGGATACTATCATAACATTAGGACCACAGGGTTTAGTCATACAGATATCATGACTAAAAGTAGAAACTCCTTTTCATTACTTGAGAGAAATATTCAGAAAGCTACTTGACTCATCATGAAAATAGGATTTGCCACTTGGCTAAATATTAAGGGAAAATATTTTTTTTTATTGTTCAAACAACCTGCAGTACGAACAGAGGATTAATGCAGGTTTCAAGTCTATCTTTAGAGGGAGCAAGAATCACTCATTGCATACAAAAAGTACACCTTAAAATAAGAAGGCATGAGAGCTCAATATTTGATATCCAAACGTATGGGAATGCCAACACACATGAAAGAGGGATCTAAAAGCTATCAGCCTAACCAAAAAAAGGGGAATTCAAAACAGACTGAGGTTTGGTCATTTGGTAAAATTTGAGGAAAAAGGTCTAGCTGAAAACTTTTCAGAACTCCCATTGTGCATGTGTGTTGCACAGAGACAAAGTAGAATAGATAACAGTATTAACGAGGGGCTGTTTGAAGTATATCAGACATACATTTTGTCTTTTTCTGCTCAGCTTCCCAATAATATGTCTTTAATGCCAAAATGCAGCTTGGCTTGGTCACAAAATCACAACTTCATATTGGTTAATGAACAAATTGACCTGTCCTGGTCTGACTCAGGAGTAGTCCTACAAAACATTACTGGAAACAAATGTTGCTAAGTATTGATGACATCATATGTCTCATCTGTTGATGCCAGGTGACTGACAACATTAACATCAAACAAAAACCATGAGAGGTGACAAAATAAAAAGCCAAAAGAGGCTGACGGAACACTTACTTGCTTGGAAAGGCATAGAGTCTGTGAAGTGGCTCTGTACGTTGGCTGGGACTTGCAAGGCAGTAGAGGTCAAACTTGGTGGAGGAGGTAGAGGGGATGCAAACATACTGTGGGGGCCCGGATGACCAGCGGAAGAGTGGTGCGGATGTAGTGGTGGCGGAGGAGGAGGAGGGGGTGGAGGCGGCGGCGGTGGCGGCGGCGGCGGTGGAGGAGCTGAGGGATGATGGGAGAATGATGGCGTGTGACTGTGTAAGGAGCTCAGGGATGTCAAGTGGAGGTTCGGAGGTTGTGGGATGGGCAACGCAGACGAGTAGAGTTGCTGAGCACTAGGACTGAAAGAGAAAAGAAAAAAAAAAAAACACTGAATGAAAAACCACCGAAAACAACCAATGCGTGGTCAACATGAACAACAGTAAGAAAAGAAGAAATTGGCTCGGACATATTTTGAAAAAGGACACAAACAAAGACAGAGAGAGAGAGAGAGAGATGCCAAGAAAAAGAAAAAACAACTACTCACCTGGTCCACCCAACAGAACTCTTGGAGATGTATGGCAAAGGTTCTTTCTCTTTTGTAAGGACAGGATCTTCGCGCCGAGGTGGAGCTCTAGGAGATGGTGGCGTTCGTTTTGGGGGCTCACGAACAATAGCTGGCACTGGCGGTAGAGGTGGCTGGATCGAAGCAGTCTTAGGCTGTGGCGAGGGGCTCTTTATTGTTGGCGGGGGAGGTAAGATAACAGACTGAGGAGGGGGTGGTAGTGGAGGCGGCGGTGGCGGAGGTGGCGGTGTTGGGGGCCTCGGCCCATTGACCGACAAAGGTAGAGAAGGAGAAGAGGTTGAGTTGCCGATCACTACACTAGAGGAAGCAGGGATCGGATAGGCGAGATTGGCATTGGGGTGGACAAGCGCCGGGCTTGAGCGGACACTAGTTGAGTTTGAGTGTGAGAGAGTTGAGTGAGAATGAGCTGAGTGGGAGTGGGCTGAATGGGAGAGAGTGGTGTGCAATAAAGGTGTATTAGGGGATGAAGACGGGAGGCAAGGGTGAGAGTAGGGTGATGGCAGAGATGCAGTTGCGAAAGTGGTGGTATTATTATTAGTGTTATTAGTATTGTTATTGGTATTACTGGTACTATTGTTGTTATTATTATTGTTGTTGTTGTTGCTGATATTACTGGTGGTAATTGTATTGTTGATATTACTAATATTATTGACGGTATTACTTATATTTATGTTGCTAGTAGTGGTTGTAGTTGTAGCAGTAATAATAGTACTATTATTATTATTATTATTATTATTAATAACGGTACTGCTGCTGTTGTTGATAGTGGTAGTGTTAATGGTATTTTGGCTGTTATTGGTATGGGAGAGAGTTGGAATAGTGCTCACAACTGTTGTCACAATTGTAGTACAAATGGGTGAGTTAGTCGGGGTGATGGTTGGCGCTACCACTAGGCTGGTTGAATTTGCAGGGGAAGGGACTGTCGTAGGAATGACAGCAACAGCAGGTGTGGCAGTAGTGGTGCTGGTCGGGGCAACAATTGGGGGCGATTTGTTTGCACTGAGGGTAGTGGCAGGTGTGGGTGAGTTGCTGGTCACTGCACTGGTGATTGGACTGTTGCTGCTGAGGAGTCCGTTGTTGCTAAAACTGCTACTACTGCTCAAGACACACGTAGTCGTTGTAGTAGTGGTGGTCTGTTATAGTAGTGCTAGTAGCAGTTGTAGTTGCTGCTATGGGATCACGATTTTCTGTTAAGACAAAAGAAAGAACATGTCAATTTACTTTCAAAACATATTTGTGTAGCAGTAAAACTTTTTAAAGATTCTGAAACAAATTAGATTTACAATTGTCTGCTAGAATAATGAGTCTTGTGTCTGCTGTGTGCTCTAATTCTGTTTCACTGTACCAGACTAGGCTAAACTAAGTAAATATAAAATGCAAAAATATAAAGCATGTTTGCTACAGAGTAACAGGAAATAAGTTAGCCTCATAGATCAATGATAGTAAGTTTGTTCTCCACTAGATTACCATGAGCCCCTAATACAAAGATAAGCTTAAGAAATACGAGTTCGACTAACTGAACACAGGCAATGTTTAAATGAAAGTGAAAATTAATTTGGTTTTTAAATTATAAATCAATACAATTTTTCACAAAAGATTTAAGAGTACTTGATGTGTCAAGAAATTTTGAATCTGTAGACAATCATAAATAGAAATAAAACCAATCAAACATACAACAAAATCTAAGATATTGGCAATTAATTTCTTTCCCTCCAAAATATCATTGTCCAAAGCTATCTGCAAAAAAAAGGAATCAGCAGAAAGTAGTCTAATGTCAAAAGGGAAATCAAGCATCTCCCCCCACCCTGAGAGAAACTGTTAGATTGATGGATTGTTTTTATTTATTTAATTTTTTTTTTAATGGCTTATTGACCCTTTGTGGGTGATTTAAAGCCAAAACATTTTGGATTGTAAGAATAATTCTTTTTTTCTTCCTAACTTTTTGTTCAAAGTTAGCGTGGATTATGTCCTGATTTTCTCTTCAAGTTACTTATTGATATCCATTTTAATTGTTGAAAGTGATGTGGTTTCTGTTATTTGGTACAGTTCGAAAATATCAATTTCATACATGCTACCATTTTGAAGGTATGAGCAAAACTCAACAACCAATAAAACCATTCCTTGAGCCCATTAGAACGAAGTAGAGAAAAAAAAAAAGGTTTCAATTATGCATTGCATAAATAAATAATCGATAACAACATGTATGCACTATTTACGTTTATTATTACAACACTATGGAGTTTGGTACAATTACTAGTAGTTCACAGTACCTGGGTAAACATTAGCCTACCTCAAGTTTGCATTTAAGCTCCAGGAGATATTTTTTGAACCAGTTTTTGGCAGGGGTGAAAAGATGGGGTGGGGCACATATGCAATAAGATACTGTAGTATATTATCATATTTCTGACTACATATGTAAACAAATTAGGGCTTTATTTATATTCTTATTACACAGATGAGGGAGGGGGGTGCTGAAAAGTTCTCATTTTTATTAAGAAGGGATAAAAAGAAAAATTCTGATGTCTGGTTATTTTGCCAGATTTTAAGAAGTGGGTGCCAGTGAGAGAGAACATCTCACCACCAACTTGTATAAATACATCAGTATATTGTTGGTCTTCTTCCCCACCATTCTTCTTCATCATCATCATCATCACCCACCCCCATTACTGTTATATTCACCATTAGAACTCCCGATGAGAATTTCTGTCTGAATTTCTGGGATGAAGAGTTATTATTTACATTCAACTAATGTCCTCATCTGTGGTATTATTATCACAACGTTTCAACTGTTGTGTCCACAAGCCTTCATCAGGTGCTTGTTGATCCTAGTAAAATTCAGGGAATTTTGAACTGAAACCTTTATTTAATCTACAGGAGTGATTTGTTCTCATTCTACTATGTCTAGGGATATCTCCACTAGTTCATGTTTAGTATTGATCAGTAATTGATCACCATCATTTCCAGAGTTCAAGTCAGCACTGCGCACCTGGCCTGGGGGAGTGAACTCATAATTACTATGTCACCAAACTCCTGAACCAACATTTTAATCCACTAGGCTATTGCTGAATTGAGGTCAAAATAACAAAGATGAGGACAATAGGCCACATGTTTAAAAAAAGAAAAAAAAGAAAAAAAAAAGAGTGGTATTTTGACAGAAGCTAGTTTTTTGGTCTCAGGCTGAATAAAAATCTGTTTTTGGAACAACTTTTCACAGGTAAAAATTGTGACAGAAGTTTAAATCTACAAAACAGAAATGGAAAAAGAATTTGAAGTTTTTATCTGAAATATGAGGTCAGATAGGGAAAAAATATTTTGGTAGGCAAAGGCTTTGTTTGATAGAGACTAGAACTGCCTTGGATTGTGAAGGGAATTAGTGTCAAGGAACACAGATAGTGCCAAATGATTAATATTCAAATGGATTTGAACATTGGGCCAGAGAAACCATAGATAGATTGTCCATTTGATTCTGACTGAATTCATTTACAAGAGAAATTGTTAAAGTGCCAACAAGCCGCCAGCCAAAATGAAGTGAGGAAAGAGTCCAAATGAAGCCAACTTGTTGGCACTGATCAAAACCAAAGAAAGATTTCTTTACCA